GGGACGATGGCATCCAGTCCTTGTCATCTTTGCCTCCAAACTCAATGTAACCTCGGTTACGTGATCTTTTTGTGGGATAAGAAAGGGTAGTCCTTTCCCAAAGCAGGCGTGTCTCATCTATGCTTGGTATACGTAAAGACCAGACGTCGTAATTTGGTAGATGGGAATTGAAGATTCGGCAGCTTGGACAGCCAGATTGTCGTAAATCCCCTCGTGTTTTTGTCATCTTCAACATGCTAAATGTTCTCCCATTCTTTGCAATGTGCATAACGGTCCACGGTACGCTAGAGCAACGCACGCACAGGTCGTGGGATTCCAGATGTAATTGCGGCTCCCAGAAGCCGCCTCTTAAGATTTTCATGCCCTGCGCAACATGAGATTCCATGTCCTGCTTCCTGAAGACCATTGATCGACTCCAGGAGACATGAACAAGCTGTTCTTCGTGTGGCGAGATGAGAACGGACTTCGTAAAGAATCTGGAATTCGTGTTTCCAACGAATTGTTGCGACAAGAAGTGCTGAATGTAGCGGGAACGTCAAAGAGCAGCGCAATGTCTGAGACAGGGGAGTCTCGAGCGGTCGTCGCTGATAGCTTGTGGATCGAGATAGATATTTTGTAACGGAAGGCTGAACTTTGGGAAATCCAGGCAGTAGCCTGGCTTGACCTCTTATGAGCATTGTTGCAAGCTGGCGCTAACCAGTAGCGATTGCGGCTGAGCAAATAACCAGTTGGTACTGCACGAACGCTGTGTGCTCCACCAGTTGACGTGTATTGGTGTAACCGCAGGCACTGTGAGGGCCATGAAAGAGCGACAGAGCGAAATAAGCCTAGAGAATCGCGTGCTTAGACGGAATTCATACGCAGACATCTGAGTGTACTCGCTACTCAAAAGTCGCCCCTTTGATAAGCACGTTGAAGCTGTAGAGGATTTCCTTGTGCTCGGCGGAGAGTGCGGGGTCTCGGAAAGTACCCACCCACACCGTCCAGGGTCCCGGTCCAAGCTCAATTTAACTAAGCAATGATGCTGGCACAGTTCTGGCGACATGCAAGACATGTTTACGATATATCACGATTCGATGTGTGTTGATGGCATTCCCCTACTATCATGATCAGGTCTACCGTGATCAAGTTAGAGTGTCAAAAGGTCGATATAGGTAGCGTCGCACCACGAAACAATACGCGCCGTTGCAATGCAACATTCACTCAAAACACAAGGTCAAAGTAGTCTTGGACCCGCGGGCAAGCAAAGCTCTTCTTCAGGATGTCCAGTGCATCACGGCATGTGCGATAAGCCCTTGATAAGCATAGGATGCATATGAAGCATGGCGGCTAAAGGCTTGTCCACTTTGTCGTGCACGGGCTGCTGCCTGACGCTAGCCTGTGGTGTGATAACATAAACGACATTAAGTAGAGCTGTACCCCAAGAGCAGCAGAAAGCATCTCCGTCTCCTACGGATGCGCACGTGCTACAACGTACCGATTGACGCTGATTAGGAGCAGTGAGGGCAGGGCCTTGCGAAGGCCAATGCCAAACCAAAGCCGTGTGCACAATGGATTGGATAGGTTGACACGAAAGTCGCGCAGGTCACAATGGCAGCAGAACTAGACTGCGTGCACGCTTTCGCGCGGCGAGTCGACTGTCAGAGCGAGTACGGGATCCGTCGAAATCAAATGTCTCCCAGGAACGATCCACTCGTGTTTCTGGTGTGCTGATGATGATAACGACAAGCTCGCGCTTGTTCATCCAAGTGCATCGTGGCTAAGCACATGCTTAAGCACTTCGCGCCCCCATTTGCCTGAGCATCGCATCCAGGCGCATCTTACCAAGTGCCACTTATCGCGCAATTATATTGGACTAGTTCACTAGCATCCATAGCTGCCATGCGCTGAATGCCTCATCAAGAAGCAGTGTTTTGAGTTGGTCGCGACTCGTGGAGGTATGCGCGGCTGTTGGGATGGTAGCTACATCCAAAGCCCTGCCTGAGGCGGACGATCGCTTTGTTGTTCGCTCGTTCGTGAGTCTTTGTTTGGTGGACGGATCCGTGAGAGCGATGTTCGTGAGATTCGATCAACGGAATCTAGGGACGTGAGGTGGTGTAGCCCTTCGTCGCAGGCCGGTTTCGATGTCGTGGACTGGGAACATAGGGGATATGAAGGACTGCCAACGCCCAGCAGCTTCCTGATCACGAATGCATAACCAGCGAGTATATATGCGAACGTCAGACCTGGTGTCGCTGACTCCTGATAGTGTGCTCGGCGGTGTCGGAGAGTGGTGGAGGTCGAAGCCCTACAGCAAACCGACCCAGCATTTGTGCACGTAATGACGCCCGACGCTAGCTTGAAGTGGCACACGTTCCGCCTTGCCAACCATTTCTTCGGGAACGCTTTAGTGCTGAATGCGACCAACCTCTACCCTCGCGCTTCTCATCGATATTGTTTCGCCACAGATTATCGCCCTTTTTCACATAGAGGCGTTCTCTGTTCGTCGTTATGTTGAACGCTGTTATAATCACTCAGCACGTCAAAGCACAAATCTCATCACTGTCGCGACAACCGCTAGGCAATAGTAACACCTGAAAGCGACATTAGCTCCTCTTATGGTCAACTCAGCGTTCACCTCGAGCAGACCCCTTCGGATTTGTGGGACGCTCTCACCTCCACAGATTAGATCATTGGCGCGGGTAGCGGCATCGTCGCTAGCAAACGATAATGGAGAATCCTCGCTAACTGCTGCCTTGCGCCACGCTTTGCTGCAAGGGGTATCACGTAAGGCAACCACCCAAGAGGAAGCGTGCCTAATGTTTCTTCCTCCCGCAGTCAATTGTCTCACGAACAATCTTGTGCACGCTGCCATCTCTTCGGGAGTTTGTCGACGCTACGCTCGTCGACCAACACTCACCTTCTTGCTGAAGGCGTTCTTCGGAACCTGCTCGACGAACTGAACATGACGTAGTACCTCGACGTCACACTTGCGCCCACATCTCAACATGCTAGCGGGCTCGCGCCGCTTCCCGCGAAGTTCCAACCATTCTACGAACGGGCGCACGATCGGGTGTTCACCAAAAACTTCCTGGAACCATCACAAATGGCTCCGTTTACTATGCGCTTTGGTTGGCATAGCCATCTGTATTAATATCTTCGTCCTGTTCAACTGGACTTACGTCGAAACCTTACCAAGCGATATTCTGGGGAAACAAGCTTTTCACCCCAAGCCTTTCGTGTCCACAGCGCATGGCTTTGAGTCGCAAACCGACAGTGAACCTGACTTCTGGACATGGGACACAAAGACCCAGTTCAAGACCAGAGAAAGTGTTGGCCAGCAGGGTGGCGTCGCAGACGAATGCGCTCTCTTTCCGGTGCACCTTCTCTCGAAGATTCAGGTCGTCCTAAAGACTGGAGCAGCAGATGATGTGTCGCGGACTGATGCGCAGCTTTCGACGGTCATAAAATGCATCTCCAACATCCTGATCGTTTCAGACGGAAATCACACCTACGGTGGTGACCACCAAGCTATCGACACTCTCGCGAATCTGCCGCCGGACACGTACTTGAAGCCTGAGGATTACGTCGTCTACGAGGCGCAAAGGAATGCAAGCCAAGAGGGCAGGAAGCTGCAGCAGGGTCATAAAGGCTGGGTGATTGACAAGTACAAGTTCTTGCCGGAAGTGGAGAAGGCGATTGAGCGCAACAATGCGGCCGAGTGGTACGTGTTTCTTGAAAGCGATACGTACATGTTTTGGGACAACGTCTTCCGTCTTCTAGAGAACTACAATAGCTCAGTGCCTTACTACTTCGGATCGCCATCGCCTGGCAGAAAGTACCAATCTGGACCGGATCCTGAGAACGAAGGGCAGGTGTGGTTTGCATACGGAGGCGCTGGCTTCATACTCTCCACGGCCGCTGCGCACCGATTGGTGGATCGTCCAAGCAACAGGATCGGCCTCAAGGGCCCTCAGCTCGCTATCGAATACATGGAAGATATCAGAGCCGATTGCTGTGGCGACAGTATACTGGGATGGGCTCTGCACGACAAAGCTGGAATAAGTATCGGTGGTCTCTGGCCCATGTTCAGCCCTCATCGGCTCGAAAACATCCCGTTCGGCAAAGACTACTGGTGCGAACCTGTCATCAGCCTACACAAGACTCACCCATTCCTCTATAAAGACCTTTGGTCCTGGGAGAACGAACGAAGATCAGTCAGTGAGCACCCCGTGCTCTATCGTGATCTACTTTTCTCTTTTCACGGAAACTTCTCTCAGCGCGAGGACTGGGATGCAGCATTCGACGCAGGCTTTCAGCTGCCTGATAATTCCACAGTACACACGAGCCTCGATGCTTGCAGAACCAGGTGTTTTCAACATGACGACTGTATGCAGTACACCTGGCACGGCCGGCACTGCTATTACGCGAGGGCGTTGTACATTGGTAATGCGAAACAGCCAGATGGCCATCACGACCCAGAAGATAGGAAGTACATCAGTGGTTGGGACATCACGAAGATACAAACTCGAAGCTTTGAGAGAACCTGCGAAGAGGGAGCGCATTGGGTGAAACCAAGCATCGACAGAAAGTATTGAACGCATGAGGTGTCGGATCCGTGACCCACAATGGGTAGGATGCTGGAAGCATAACACATAAACAACTCTGATTAATTCTCCTATACACTCAGATCTCCGTCGTGCAAATAGTTCGCTCCTGGCCGAGGTTCAGTAACATTCAAGTAGCGCGATTCAGAGGCACGCTCACGTCGGGCACAAGAATCCATCTGATGACCACCATACTCTGTCCACCAAGGCCAGGCCAACTTTGGGACATTGGTTTGCTTATCGAGGTCAATACAACCAATCAGGCAAGAGGAATCTTGACCAAGGCGGCGTTCGTAAAGTTCTCGCAGTCTACATGCATCGACGGTTGTTCGTTGAGAAATTGTTCTATGGCGTTCAATTGCATGTGATTTGTTACATTTCCGTTCATGCCCTATAGCAAGCCCACTTGTCCCATCAACCAGAGCACCAAGCATAAACACCGGGACCATACTGCCTCGTGCACGCCGCAGGAGTGTTCACATCGAGAACGAAGGGATAGTATTGAACGCCACAACGCCAGTCATTGCATGTGTCTCCTACCCGGAGATCTATGGCTCCGGTATTGTACTGATCCCTACAGGCCCGAGACATGTCGATGCCGCCGAGCCGCTCGCCAGCTGCTACAGCAGCAGCGGAGGGTGCAACGAGGGCTGCTGGAGCAGCGACTCCTGGCACAGCCAGGAGACCGAGGCCAATGATTGCGGTGAGGATAGTGGTATGGGCGACCATATCGATGGGTGTCTCGGTGAAGCTAAGTCAGCATAGAAAAGGAGGAAGAGAGGTGCTTATGTGTCATAGACTGCACTAAGAAGGGCACATTGTGACTATTACACACCTGGACACTCGATGGGAAATAGTGGGAGTGATAGATAGTATCAAGGATTTCGAAACCGTAAGTGGAATGCGGCGTGATCGTGAATCAGGTGAGGATGGAGTGGATAGAGAGGATGGAGAGGAGCTGTCTAGAGTGAAAAAAAGCTCTTTCTATATCGACTCGCTGATACTTGAACACGTGCCGTTACTGAAGTGTTCTGCGTATCGCTCCATCGTTAGCCACGTTGAAGCCTTCGAACAGGTCATCTTGCTTGTAGGCTAGGCCTTTGCGGGGTATGAAGGAGCTGGTATGCATCGATTCAATAACACTAGGCCTCTCCTCGTGACCGGAATTGCCTCAATACATATCAGCTTCTTCATGTGTGTAAAGTGGCTCATGCCACAATGCGGCGCAGCTTAGTGGGGTTAATTCCTGGACAGGTGGCCGCAACAATTGATTGGCCATAATGAGACCGTTGCTGTACAGAAGCATGAGTAGACCAGACAGCGAGGTCAATCTCGGTCGAACGCCATTTTGTCGACGACTCACAGTGAAAGCGGGACGACAATATATAGACTACTGAACACAGTTAAAGCAGACATTGGTGTGGAAGGTGAAAGTGAAAGAATGGATAGCACTACTATTGTCGACATGGTCTGAACATAGCGGACTGGTGTCTTTGCATCTCGAAGCAGGCATCGTCAAGCGATTTATAGAGATGAGTACGGGTAGTCCCTACTATCACGTGCAGTTTTGTGGGGCTATGGTGACGCAGTCGACCAATCGATGACTCCAGCCGTATCTAAGATATGGTTAACCATACAAATGTTGATACGCAGGGTTCATGAACACATAATAATCATAACAGTCTTCACCTCATTACTCGATTCCGATATCCTTCAAGCCGCCTTGCCTAGTCCAGAAGGCCTTCCAAGCATTCTGCCACCGCTCCTCCTTCAATCCCCGAAGCCAATCCTTCACCGCGATCTCTTCGTCGCCAATTCTGATGACACCGTTCTTGATTCCTTTCCATTCCTTCATCGGTCCTTTGATATAGCGATGATTCGCGCCGCAGAAGCTCAACCATGGTTCCTCTATTTCTCCAGCCGTTTGCTTCAGACGCTTGGAATGGCAATCTTCGCATAGATCACAGCTGGGACACACGAGGCAGTAGTAGAACGGCTGGGTCCAGGATTTGATCGTCACTCCGCAACGTCCATCACAGAAGATTCCCCATCCGGTAACATCCTCATCAACCTTGGCAGGCTCTGGCACTTCCGCAGTCACTATAGAATTCTGCTCTTTTTCAACCTCCTCAGAAAGGCTGTTGTCAGTAGCCTCATGTATGCTGTCGGCCAGCGGAGCATGTAGATTATCTTCGCTTCCCGTAACTGGTTCGTTGTTTTTTGTCGATTCTTGCTCTCTGTCTTCTTCATGAACACCACTCTCAGAGAGCGATTCTGATGGCTCTGATTCAGCATCTTGCTCGTGTATAGCACGATCCAAGATCGAAAATTGAGAACGGATTGCGATTCTTGCATCCTTCTCTAGACCGTTCAACGAGGCTAGAACCTTGGAAAGTAGTCGCAAGCTCGATGAGTCGTTCCAAGAGACACTGTCTTCGAGCCCACGGATGCAGCTTGTGAGTAGTTCATTCAGATGTTTCTCATACTCCTTGGCAGGACCCATGATGCGGAACATGTTCGCACGAAGCATACCGACATGGGATTTCCGCTCATTGTAATTGTCGCCATGAGCGCTCGGCAGTACTCTTAGGGTTTCCATGATTTCTTCCTTCTCCGTTGGGTCGGCGGACATCTGAAACTCACAAAAGAGAATATCCGCAAGCTGCATACGGTGACTTGTCTTCGTCTCATTCATCGTGTCTTCGAAAGCAGGGTCCGGTTTCGGTTTCATAGCTAGTATCTCATTGCGTAGCGCTTTGCCCTTCTCGATGTCGCCTAGCATCGGGTAGTATATGTATGCGATCGCGCACCGGAGGTTGAACAGAATAAGGCTTTGCGTAGACAGCGTTCTGGCCAAAGCACTCAGCCAGTCGAGTAGTAGGTCGGTCTCCTTCGTCGACTTTGCTGCTCTTTGCATACGAGTCACCGCGTCTTCGTCTACCCACTTGTCGAAACAATACGTAAACCAACTATTGCGCTCCTTTTCGTTCCAACTCTTGAGCACTTCCATCAGCCTGGAAGCTTCAGCTTCGTTGTCCTCTTGGAACAACAATGTGATATCATCCAAGACCCAGCCAGCCAGCGGTTGGTCACTCGAAAGTCTCCTCGCTTCGTCGAATGCTAGCAAGGCGTCCTCGCGTTTCTCCATGTTTGACAGCACCTGAGCTTTCATAGTCATGAGCTCCATTCGCATCTTCTTGATTTCGATGATTTCTTCAGGAGGCAGTTTCTCGTTATCTGGAGTGAGGAGCATGTCGTAAGCTTGGTCGTAGTACTTCATTGCTTCTGGTTTTTGGTCGATCCATTCATATTTCGGAGCTAAGAGGCGAAGTGTTGCGACCTTCTCCAGAACGCCCCCTTCCATACATTCAACCGCTCTCTTCAGATAAACGGCGGCTTCAGTAATCAAAGACTTTTGGCGATCGGGGTCTTCGGCTGCGTAGCCATAGTCAGCCAGAGTTGACCCTGTCGCCCGCAATGTCTTGAAGTCTTCGGCAGGAATATCGTATTCCGCGGTGATTGCGTTTATGTATTCAATTGGCTCATCTTCGGATACTTCAATGCGATTCGCCTGCGACTAGTTAGAGAGTTGGTCTTTCGCAATCGAAGAGAGGCTTACGTGAGACAGTGCGCCCTTAACGAACAGGAACGATTCAGGTATCCAGACCTGATCATCGGCGTCCAGCCAATTTTGTACATGGCCTTGGGCTAACGGAAGCAGGACATTGTCTTCGGTGACGGTAAGCACCCATTCCCTAACGTCGGGGTCCAATGAATCGTCTTTGAGTGTTGCTGCTTTGTGCGCCCACGTTATAAGTGTTTCAAACCAAGGGGTAGGAGTATCCTCCGCGGATACAGGGTATATGTCAGTATGCCTTGCTATCTTCTCGAATAGTTTGGCGATGTTGCTTTCATTTCGCGTGATACGGTGGAGGAGTATCGCTACCTGCTGGATAGCTCCAGTTGTCGTATTCTCCACGTCCAGCTCTTTCAGATGATCATGCCAGTATCGAATCGCATAGAGCGAGAGCTCAGCTGTTGTCGGTTCATTAGGATCTTTCGCTGCTTCCATCATGATGTCTACACACATCTGGAGGATTGTGAGATGTGCAGTGGTAGCAGGAGTCCGGAATTCTGTCACGCCATCGTCTTCGACGTTTACGCTTTGGAAGTACTGTCGCAAAGACCGGTCCTGAAATGTTAGAGGAGACTTCCCATCTTCTACTTCGGGTATACTGTCGTCTTTCTCCTCGTCATTCTCATCATCGTCTTGATCATCATCCTTTACATCCTCTTCAATCTGTCGTGTCTGGGTAAGCTCAAGGATGCGAGACGAACGCCCGATGATTTCTTCTTCGATATCAAATGTGTCGTCGTCGGACAGCGTGAGTTTGATCAAGCTCGAAGCTTCGGCGAGGCTGAGTGATCGTTTCGAGAACGCTAGCCAGGCAAACAATTTCTTCAATGCTTGATATTGCGCTTCCGAGCGATTGTGGCGACATTCCTCAAGCAGAAGCTTGTAAAGGGCATGCAAACTTGTCGGCAGCTTGTCCAAGTCGTGCATGACCGCCCGCTCCCGACCAATGTAGGAAAATCTTCGAAGCATGTGCTCGACGTAAAGCATACTGTCTGCTTGCTTGACTATCTTGCGAGCAATGGCTTTCTTAACATGGGGGCTGAACTTACGCACGCGCGGGAGTGTTTGGAGGCGACTCTTCACGAGCATTTTGATGTCGGACTTCATCTCCTGCTTCGTGATTTCAATCATCGACGGCTGAAGCAGCTGCAACGTGGGCTTATCTTCTGGCCTGCTAGTCGCCAGAACCGATACATTCGCCCCCTGGTGCTTGAGGTCGGTCAAAAATTGTGTCAAGACCCCACCTTCCTGTACATGCGCCTCGTCTAAGCCATCCAAGACAAGAAACAACCGGCTACCAGATTTGTTGTCGCCAGGAAACATCGATAGAAAGAATCTTTTCCACGTGGAAAGCTCAGTGGACTCACTAGAGTCTTCTCTGATCATTGCCGCTACCTGCTCGGCGTATTTGCTGTTCGATTCGGCAACCTGAAGCGCTGCAGAAGCGAATGCATTCTGCATTGATTGCTGATATGGATGTTCTTCTTTGAAATAGAAGTAGGCCAATGAGGTGTGTTCATTGTGACGCAGTCGCAGCATCTCAATGACCGAATAGGCTAGGAAAGATTTCCCAATCCCCTCCGCACCTCTTAGCCACAGTAGAGGATGACCACCGTCGATCCATGTCTCGAAGTTTGGATGTTTGGTGAGCCACTCTGCCGTTTTTCCTACCTTGTTATCGCGCATATCTTCATTTTGTGTCAAGTTCTCCAGGTGAGCTTCTACCCAGGAGGGAAATACATTGGAGTTTCCATTGAAGATCTTCTTGAGTTCCCGCAAGGCTTGAAACTTGCGATCGCCAACATCGCCTTTGGACTTCACTTCTTGTTTCTTCTTCTCCTCGTTCTCTGGCGCTCTGCTAAGCTTGGCTGTATTCTTCAAAATCTGGCGAAGTAGAGCGTTCTGTTCAACATGATTCTCTGAGAGCTGGTATTGAATAGCGGAGAATCCTTCGCTGACGACAACCTGAAGGTTCAGGGTGCTCGCGTAGACTTGCTGAATGTCCTTTCCGACGCTTTCACGGTATGATTGCAGCTTCTTATCGAGTTCGTCTAGTTTAGCACTGTTGACAAGTACGTCGTCCTGTACGGTCTTGATAGAGCTGTAGCTTTCAAATCCAACAGCTTCGTCGAGTTCCTGGATAGATGCCTGCATTGCAGCATACGCTGATACGAGCTCTTCATCTACTTCGTTCCACGATGCATTGAGCCAATGCGCTACCAGCGATCAGCGAAGCCCTAAGATATGCCCGGCCAACCTACTGATCTTCTTCTCCTTCACTAGACGTCTTACCCTGCCGCATACAGATAGCTGCATGGAGAAGATTCTGACGATAGCGATCGCAAGTGGACCAGATTGCGCTCGTCCTTCGAGAATCGATAGTCGTTCGAAGAAACGAGCCGAATATGCAAAGAATTCTTCAACGCGGTCGTATTCAGCTCTGACCCCTGCGAAAGCCTGACGTTGTTGAGTGCTTGATATTCAGGAGACAGGTACTACTCACGGATATCAAGCGACTCGCGGCAGTGAACACCAGTCCCACTGGCATTGCCGGTGGAAACGCACTGACTGCAGCTCCGACTGCGGCAAAGCCATCGATGCATTTCTGAAAGTCGCCGAGGTGGTCACCCATAGCCGATCGGAAGCTCGACATTTTGCTACCGTCGTCTCGAAACCCTTTGAACTTCTTCATATCTGTATCAGTTTGTCGCATGACTTCAGCGACACTTCGTGCGCCTAGGGCCGAAAGGTTCTCTTTGGTACGCGCATTGTAGTCTCGTATCGCTTCTGCCCATAAACGACCAAGATCAGTCTGCGCACTTTGTTGTGAGACTTTAGTCGCCATGATGTGTCAAGGTAGCTGGGAGATGAAGAGCTGACAGAAGTACGGATTACCCTCCACATTTATCATGCGGCGATGCATAGTAAGTGTTGTAAGGCTAAGGACACTCCGTTTGATCAACTGGAAACACCACCAGTGCGAGATCCGGTGGACATGTGTCTGCCTAGCGACATAGGTGCGGGTGGTTGGGGGCCGGAAACGGGTATCGTCTATGGCCAGACGACGCGAACGCCTAAAACGGATGTATGGCGCGATTGGTACGTAGAGCTCGCCGGAAAGCGGCACAGTGTGTATTGAGGATAGCAGGCTGCTGCATCAGGAAGTTGCGCAAGCGAAGCAAGCTGAAAGCCACTTCATAAAGCCATGTGCCCGCGAACAAGATCAAATGATACGAAAGCTGCATGAACGAGCATAACGGCATGTTTTAGAGAGCTTCGTGTTCATCGGTAGGGGATTAGACTGACAAACTGCGTCGCAATGCAGCTGTTGTGCGCTGAAAGCATTTCAAAAATGCTTGTTGCACAGCGTCGCCCAACGATGAGTGCGGGGAGTTAGGTCCGCCGATGTCTCTCAGCTGAGCCACGGAACAGTGGCATACCAGCCAGCAACGCTTGATAACATCAACCATCTCCAGTGAAAGCGCAGGTAACGACGATGGTGTTCGTCTGATCATAAGAGTTTTCCGTATGGTTGGGCTGTATTGAGCACTGGAGAATTGGCGAAATAGTGTCGCGCGCAGATGCGTCGCTGTTCCTACCACGTGCTAGGTGTTGTGCCGTAGCCTGACGCTAATCCAAAGCGGCGAGGTGGGGCGATGTGCCGATCCTTTGCAAGTAAACCTGTCGCCCCACGAACCATCAAAGACGCGATGAGCCAAACAAGCATGAACACCATACGAACACCAGATACTTCTTGTGCTTGTTCTAGGATGAGATAGGCCTCTGTCACCATGCGTTCGAACAATCATGTCTTTACAACGTCTACAGAATCACAAGCCGTCTCCATGATGCAGTCTCGAACAGATTACGCCAGAGAACATTCATCGCCGAGCCTCGAGATAGCCCAACCCTTTCGTACCGCTTCGGCCTAGAATGAACTTTTCTCAAGATCAACACTGGGGTGGCCGTCGTATCATAACGATAGACCCTGCTCGTGTCTCCAACAACTACACAGTAGACTGACTGGCCGACAGAGAGTTCTTTGTCATATGGAGGGACATGATAGGGTACATCTGCATCGAATATCTCCCATGCGTTGCCCTGTCCGACTCTGTGGTGCTTGTTATCGTTAGCCCCCTGGTAAAGACATTTCACCACCTTGCATTCTATCTCGAGATAACCACTGTCAACACAACCAGTGGGGTCTTTGCTAGACGAGACGCATCTGTAGTCGCGGACAATAAAATTTCCCGGTCGCATGTCCGTATTCGCCCACTCAATAGGACCTTCTACTGACGCCCATGACCAAGTCGGTGCACGATATCCATTCGGTCGGCGAGCTTTGGCTAGCGAATCACCACTCGAACCAGATTCGTCCACGAAGTAGCCGCCTCTTTGGATGAACATGTCGTACATGCCACGACGTGTATATTGATTTGCGGTGTACCAACAAAGTCCATGGAGAAGATCTCCCGACCAGATTCCAGCAAGATATGTCGAACCCAATATCAATTGTGCTCGTTTCGCGACGCCAGAAAGAGCCGGGAGTCGATCGTTGTCGAACGCCAGATCTTTTGAAGTATAGCGGACAACAATGTCTCGCCATACCTCGTACAGAGTGGACAAGTCCGGACGGTCTTGTAAGCTATCTGGCAAGACATGGTAAGGCGCAAGTAGAGGGGCAGCGAAATGTTTCTGGCCGCGCCAATGATGACCTTTCGTTGTACAACAGCACCAAATCTCGCATGAACACTCCCACACAATTTCGTGATGGGTGAATTGTATGATGCGCGGGCTCAAGAGATGCTCTTGGTAAGTCCAAGACCGACCCAGTAAGGGATGTGGCATCGAAGTCCACTCTGCAGCTTCATCTTCAATCTTTTCGTTGTAAGATTCATTTGCTGCGTTCATTGTAGACATTCTCAGCTGTGTGTGAGTTATGGCCTCGCGATAGGATAATGACGGGATGCCAGGAATCGGGTTGTCTAACCTGTTGATAGTAACCTGCATGTGACGATTAGGAGAGAACAATCCTGCATCTGCGTTCATAGCAACAGTTCCTGCGACTGTAAGATACGCTCTACCATATATCTCAGCCATCTGTGCGGCTTGCACTTCCCAGTCTCTTCGGTCATCTTGGATTATACACAGTGAGTCAATCCACAGATACCGAACTCCAAGGTATTTGGTTACATCGATAGCGTCACGGAAGGTTTTTGGTAGTTGGGAGAGGGCGATTCCCTTCCTGAATTCCGCAATCGTTGCGAGAGTTGTGCGTACTGGCTGGCTACCTCCCCAACAATGACTCAGACAGATATATTCCCCGACTTGCGAGTCAGACTCGTATAGAACGACGGCCTCTTGTTCGCTTAGATCGCTTAGATAACTCAGATCTAACACTCTTTTGGGCAAGTATGTCGTTCCCTGGGCTTGACACCTTGGATGGTCTCGGACGCATTCTTCGATCCACTGAGGTACATTTCGCAGGAAGTTTTCGAAACCAGTGTCTGGATCTGTTACAGGATTTGGAAGGCTTCTAGAGTGCGAAAAGATAGGATTGCTTGCAACTCCCCCTGAAGATGCGGCTAAGAAACATCAGCGAGCGTCAGGTCTTCAAGAAGTACACCTCACCATTGCTTGAGAAAACGTCGAGGTACGCAAACCCATATACCCATTCGTCAGGCTTGTTCTTGTATCCAAATCCCAGACTCGTATCTTTGACCAGCACCTCAATGTTCTCAATCTCAACCTCTGGACGAAACATTATGGACATGTAGTGATCCACAATGTCTAAGAGCGTCTCGCATACCGCACATTGATGTGCTGTAGCCTTCTCACGGTCCAGGCTTAAAACAGTCTGATCTATAGGAAGGTTCAAACACGATGGGCAAACGGATAAAGCGACTGCAGATGAGCTCCGTCCCACTTCTTCTTTAATGACTTCTGGTGGAGGAGATCGATTCGCGAGCTCTGGAAGTATACCGTTCTGGTCCTGAGCTGCACCGACTTCAGCTCGAATGGCGCTAACGCTACCTTGGAGCCCTTCGATCTCCGCGGCCAGAATATCGCTCCTGTTCGCGCTACGCTCGATTCCGTTGAGCCGCATCTCGATCTTTTCCAGCCTTTGCATAACGCCTTGTACGCTATTGTCTATTGTTTCCAATCGCTCTCTTATCCACTCGTCTTTTTCCACCGATTTCACCCTGGGTGTCCCCTTGGCGATCGGCATGTCATCACTGGCATGTTCATCGACCAGTATTGGGTCGGAGACAGATGCAATTGATTTGGAAGATTTGTCGATTTTCCAGAGATCATTGACATTCAGTTCCGTGTATCCTGCCCAATCTTCGAGATTTAGCACGACGTGCCGAGGCTTTGACATCTCTGGGAGCCGGGGAGCTCTCCATGATATTTTAAGCATCAGGACCAAGTTTCAAAGGATTTCGAGTAGGCAGAAGAGAATAACGATGCTCAAGAGCTGTTCTGAAAAGGCTGGGTTCCAGCTAGTGTAGAAAGGTACGCTCGCTGAATAACTCCCAGTTATATGAGATCACAGAGTTGACGGGAGGAATAAAGTACGTTATGTGCAGCCTGATACCTACTCTCAAGACGTTAAATATATTTCAGCCTTGTATGACAGATATGCGCCTCGATCCCGGATCCGGCGGATGCATCCAGCCACCGGGGCCGAGTAGACCCTTTGTGACCAATCGACCATCATAAATCAGCACAGCCTGCTTACACTCAGTTTTTGGTGGCTTCTCGTGCAATTATAGAGCCAATAGCAGCTAAAGCTACTATCACCTCTCAACTTCGCATTTTCTTAGTAGCGTTCTACCCCCCTCCTATCGCATTCTCGGCATGGCAACACGTGAGCCTAGTACGAGGAAGGCTGCGAGTATTGTGTGCAAACTAAGGAGATCTGACAGCAACATGGATTAGGTATGATATTGGTAAGGCAAGGGTGGCTGCCATGATTTGGACATCTCAGTCAAAGTGACCGCGGCAAGAATTCAACGTGGAAGAAATCTCGCAACACCCGCAGCTCGAAGGTCTTACAGGTAGATGTAATTGTTTGTCGACGAAAGCAAAGGCTTGGCAAAGTATCGTTGTCGATTCAAGCCTCGTTTACCTAGGTATACTATGAGCATCAAGGACGGATTGCATTCGGCAGGCTAAGAGTCTCGTAAGCAATTGTGAACAAATGTGGCGTTCATATAGGGTAGGAAGATAGACTTGGATTGAGTCACATCGAAGGCTGTATGGACAACAGAACAAGCAGGGTCTAATATGACGCAAAGCGAGCCGCGGTGTTGTACGGTTGTTGGCTTTTGTTAACAAGAAAGGTGAAACGGGACGCAGCATTTGGGTAACATCAAACTTACCACGTTGTCTTAGCAGACTCAGATGAGTGTAAATTCACACTTTTTTCTTCACGTCATTATGGGGAACATCTGGGTGGCATACAATTCCTCTATTGTCAAAGACATTTACTCTTGCACTTAGCCATGCAACAAACTGTTATGAACCTAGACTTCCTATACATATCCTCGAACTCAACCTAAACCCCCATCCACATCTCTGTTTTAGTTGACCTTGGCCTGAGCGAGGCTGTTGATCTGCTGAGCACCGTCCTGGATCTTGCCATTGGCTGCCTGGAAGCGACACAGAACGCCGGAGCGCTCCTTGACGTTGTTGTCGCACACCAACTGGTTGTTTGCAACGCAGTTGAGAGCACCGTTGCCTAGAAAAAAAGTGTGTCAGTATCGTCCTAATAGATATCCAAGTATTCTACTTACAGGCAGCTGGACCTCCAGGCACACACTTGCCAGCGGCACCGTTGACAGTGCAGGCATCCTGCTTCAAAGATTGGTTGGGGATACAGCAAGCCCCGTTGGCTGCCTGGCGGGTGTCAAGCACGCTGCGAGGAGTGTTGCGTACGCCTTCGACATCGGTGATAGCGGCAGAGGAGATGGCGACGAGGCCAAAGAGAACGGCGGTGATGGAGAATTGCATATTGGCGATTTGGGTTGCGAAGTATATCGGTTCGGGGTATTAACAGTTGATTATCGAAAAGTGTTGATGGTTGAAAGTGATCCGCGCAGCGGGAATGAATGAAGTAAATGTAGAGTGAATTGGAAGACTGGCTTGGGAATAGAACCTTGGTCAGGCGTATGTGCTACCTTTATACTGCGATTTCTGAACAGCATTGATACTATATCGCTTTCCATTAAAGGCATGCTGGGTAAGCGATCCTGAGGCAGTCGATCATGCACATCTAAAACCCTTGCCCGGGCCCTGGCGGGTCCAGCAGATCGCGGTCAAAACAATGATTATTGCGCGCAGGCAGTATGGCAGTAGACGAAGCATACTGCTCTCCCTAGATGAGCAACATCCAATATGCCATGGTTGAGCTTCGGGAATGGACTTGCACCTTGGTGGTAGGCAAACGCGTGTTGTAGTCGATCTCGAACCAACGGTAGACAGCTGCAAGTGCCGTCAAACCCGAGTTGACAAGCAAACTGAAGCGCTGCCTTGCACTTGAAACACTTCCTGCCTACTCAAACATGTGCCTTAGAAAGACATGAGACGTAGAACAACCTGCGGTTAAACGGCTAATCTAGGCTATGGTCTGTGACATGCATGATTAGGCGCTTCCAGGCGCACTTCGCATGACAGTCGTTCACTACTTCCTTCTAATAACAATCCACAACAAGTCGAGCGTCAGGATCGACGAAACCTTTCGTCTCCGTGCACCCGTTATCTTCGCCATGGCTTCGTCGAACACGACCTTCCTCGTTGCAAGACAAAGATTGAACATGCTGGCTGAACCACACCGCTCAGGCGTGGAGTGCCGCCGAGCGCCGGAAGATATCGCGAGAGGGCTCGGAAGAGTTTAGACATTAGAGGGCTGCGGGACGGGTACCTGCGCATCGCGTCAGGGCTGAAGATGTCACGCGCGCATGCAACGCTGCCGCTGAACACGATAAGAATCGCAAACACCGCTCGCGCAACGTCGCCGACTACGTAAACATCCTGCTCAAGTTCCCCAGAGTAGAAGACATGTCCCCAAGCTGCGCCACAGGTCCGAGCGCTCGTCAGTCCAGTTCACTTGGCCTCCGGAAGTTGCAGCAACATCCTGTATACCTCTAGACGCCTTTAGTGAGATGGAAAATCTTGGATTGGGCGTTGGGGCTGAACGCTGTATAAAAGGATAACAGCGCGTCGTGAGCATGCGCAGGCACTTCAGCTTGCCTTCTTGAGCTGCAGTCGACTCGCATCGCCAGAACCAAAACATCCCCGTCTTTGCGATCACGTTGTTGTCCAAGGCCAACGATCCTGCAAGACCTATCATGGCACCGTCTTGGATGGAAAAGTTCATCGTGCGTGGCGAGCCACCAATCCCAGACCCCCTGCGTACCTTATCGCAACCGACTCTTTCCCTCAACTACTCCGCGCTCGCAGAACACCGTCACATCTTGAGCGCTCCGGACGAGCATATGCCGCGCTACGCAGTAACTCGGAAGGCCATCATGGGGGCATGGGGAAGCAAATGTTCCGTCACGGTCCCCACCAACTCCGACCAAGAAATCGCCCTCATCGATTTCCACACCTTTCACTACGACATCAAGTTCCCTATACGCGACCACCGCATCGAAATCAGTACGGCGAAGCGTAGATTGGATGCGAGCGGTGGGCTGGGGGAGCTACACTGGAAGGCAACGGGGATGCAGGTAGCGGGCGCAGCGTCGTGGGAGTTGCGGGATGAAACGAGTCTTGTCATGGTTGTGGATATTGATCAATCGCAGACAAACGGTAGGATTAGTGTTTGGAGAGAGACGCTGGATGAGCAGACTATGGAGGAGCTTGTCGTGGTTGGGGTTGCGCAGATTGAGGAGTATAAGAGGATGCTTAGGCAGGCGAAGACGTCTGCGGTGGGTGTAAAACTCAACTGAGATGCTCTCTGCACATGTAGCAGGAATTTGATGTGAGTTCGGAGGGGAATCGCCAAGCAACACTATAGTAATAACTCAAGCGTAAGATTATTAGACCACAGGCTTGCGCGACTTGAAGATTGTGATTTGAAGATGATGAAGACACGAACGGAAGTCCGCGATGCTCATCCCTGCCACATGCTTGCACCATTTTGTGGAGGTTTCGCGGCCCGATTTGTTGCGAAAACGCTATGCGCTAGCTGCGCCTTGCTATCACAGTTGGTTAGCTCCATCAAAAGCCGGGACAGTATCGAGATGGCCAAGGCAGTAAGTCAGTAGACTTTTACGCTGTCCAGGCGTCGTGGAAATGTTTTGGCGGTGTCCGCATGTTGAGATGCGCCCGACCCTTCGGAGCTAATCGAGGATGGCGGCCGAGGCAGGGTCTTTTTGAGCGGCCTTGGGCGGTGGACCCTTCTTTGATTCCTAAACATCCATGAATCATCCTTTCGACTCTCTGATCTCAACCAATGACCATCCCGACAGCGCCAGGAAACATGTTCCAGGCGCAGATGGCGTCATGCATGTCTATCCTTAGTCCATCTGTTCCTGCAATCGCGGCATGGGCCCTACCTGAGCCGAAACGGCTTATGGTGAAGCTTAGATTTCACGCTTTCGGAGCGCGAGGCATGCGCAGGGCTAACAAGAAGGCTATCGACCCCTCCTCTGCTTGATGCTTGCTTCTTCTTCGCCTGACTGGCTTCACACCTCAAAGAGACAATCTTGAACCTACCGTCTGCTCTCCTCCCGCATTGCGCGATTCGCTTGCATCATTCCGCAAAGCGACAACCCCCACTAAAAACATTACAACAGCAGCAGCAGCAACAACATCAACGCGACAGAAACTCGCGCGCGCCAACTACATTCTAAAACATACGCAGCCTGGATAGTCGCAGGTATGGCGACAACGCCCATCGAACTCGCGTCAACCACCAGCACGCTTCCCACGCGCCAGAAGGCGATTCCCTACACATTCGCCGACGGAAGGCGGACCCCACTCTCTTCCATCCTCCCACCCCTCGTCTTCGGTACCGCCACGTTCAACCATCAGTACAACAGCGACCCCTTCGCGCTCGACACCACCGGTCTCGTCACCTCGGCGCTTACCCACGGCATCCGCGCCTTCGACACGTCCCCATACTACGGCCCCTCCGAACAACTGCTCGGCGATGCGCTCGCAACCCCATTCGTCCGGGAGACGTTCCCGCGCAACTCATACATGATCCTGACCAAGGTCGGGCGGATAGCAAGCGATGAATTCGATTACAGCAAGGAATGGGTGCGCGACAGCGTCAACAGAAGTCTGGAGAGACTAAACACAGAATATCTGGACTTGGTATACTGCCACGATGTCGAGTTCGTGAGCCCGGCCGAGGTACTGGAAGCCATCAAGGAGCTCCGCTGCCTTAGAGATGAGGGCATAATTCGGTACATCGGTATCTCAGGGTACCCTCTCGATGTGCTGGGTGACATGGCTGAGCTCATTCTCCGCGAGACCGGCGAGCCGCTCGATGCGGTCCAGTCGTATGCCAACTTTACGCTCCAGAACCAGACGCTGGCCGGTCCGCGCGGCATCTTGCGCCTCAAAAACGCGGGCGTCGACGTCGTGCCAAACGCCTCCATCCTGGGCATGGGTCTCCTCCGTCGCGAAGGTGTGCCCGTCGGCGCACTAGGCGACTTCCATCCTGCCCCTTCTTCACTGCGCGAAGCAGTTCGGAAAGCAAGCGACTTCTGCGACGACTATGGTGAGCGCATCGAAGTCATCGCCATTCGCTTCGCGCTCGAGACATGGATATCATCTGGCGCGCTGTGCGGATCCCGCGGAGACCCCGCATCGGGTGTCGCTTGGAAACATGAGTCTATAGACGACGTCGGAGGCTCCAAGCTGGGCGTCAGCGTCATTGGTGTGTCGCGCGCCCCGGAGCTGGAGAAGACCATGCTTGTCTGGCGATCCATCTTGGATGGACTGGAGGGCGGCAAGGAGACTGCTGTGCAAGCTGGTCGCTGGTATCGCGCGTGGGAATGGAGCATGAATCGTAAGAGGGCAGTACAGATCCTTGCGGAGGGTGTACAGGAAGTACTTGGTGACGGCTTTGACTACGCGTGGTCAAGTCCTGATCCGGGCTTCGTCAATAAGAGGAAGGACGCAATAAAGGGAACTCAGGGTGATGCGCCAGCACCGTGGCTGACGCCCGCCGCCAGCCCGGAGGCTGTGGCTGTGAGAGATTCAAGCGAGGTCGTGGAAGAGAAGTCGTTGCCGCTACGGTAAAGGAGAAGATGTAGCACGTGTATATAGTGAACAAAGCTGCACGCCTCCTAACCTCTATTTCTGTCCTTATATCCTTGTAAGGAGGTACGTCCACCTCATACTTTCCACTCTGGTACGTGGCGTTCGGCATGGTCTGGCAGAGATTCTGGAGACGAAGCAGTGACGCGTCCAGTCTCCTCGTCGACAGCCAGATCATCCAGCTCTACATAGTTCCCTTGTGATCCACGTCCAAACACTTCCTTTACCGAATCTCCACATTCTCCATTGACCGTTATGTCTGGCGTCTTCTTGCTCGATTGTCTTGTGCTCATTCGGTTCCCCGAGCTCGCAGCTTTGGAAGGGTACGATCGTGATTTGCTTCGTGATTTGCTTCTACTCGAGCCCGTGTAGCCTTCGAGCGCGGAGTTGACCGCATGCTTGAGGACGACGCGAAGTACAGGAATTGAGGTAGCGACGATGGCCATGGAGCACTCTGCCACTGCCCATATGATGGCATTGTATGATTCATCTGCAGCTGTTAGCAATGACCCGTACATGGCTTGAAATGTCTTACATGATACATCCTGTGTTGTCAATTTTGCGATGTATGTGGATCTGACAATCGACGTGATTCCGGCTCTTCGATGAAGTCAGTCCGGTCTGCTATTCAATCAAGCAATGCATGAACTCACAGTATTCCCAGACTCATGGCGACACATGCACCGATCTTCTCTGCGGTACGCATTTGCAGCTTCCAAAGGATCTTCCACGGCAGCACAGCAAGAGAAAAATCCATAAGTGCTGACCACACTGCGTCGCGTCGCAAGTCAGCAAAGCAATGAAGGTACCGACTTGGAAGCAGTCCACTCACTAGCTTGGAAACGCCCATATATAACAGAGGGTTGCTTGTCGATGCACTCTCCCGGTATGAAGTCCACAAAGGTTTTGGCTAGCGGTTTGCATTGCACCCATGGTATAATGGTAGCAGGGATTGCAAAAATCGCTAGGGTAGAGATCGCAAAGTAGACGTAGAGTCTGACCCATCCGTCCGTCAGCCGAAGCAAAGTGAGTCCAAAAGAGATCTTGCTCAAGGCAATCGCGATGGTGTATATCGTCAATTCCGCTGCGCCAATATACATCATCTTATCAAGATTGCGCAAGTCGACTAGCGTAAAGATTAGCGATCTGAGGTGTGAAATCCAAGACTCTGCTTTGGTGTCTTACGGTCAAGTGTATGTCCTCCATAGCCTACGTTGATAGACACTTGGTTGATGGAAACTTGGACCAGAAGTAAGATCTTTATCGTATGAGCGAACTGCTATTTGCACTGAGAGGCTTTGCCACTTACCCAAGCGACGACAAGTGTGCAGTCGTCTAGCCACAGCTTCCCTTGACGCCATCGAATATAAAGCCGAGGGAATAGAAAGGCAGCAGCGACGGACAGCAGCGACCAGGTGACCACGGACATGAGAGGTCCATGGGTCTCTTTCGGGTTGCTAACCCAGCTTTCGATGCCACTCATTTGGATTGGTTTCAAGGGTTGGCGAGAAGGAGAAGGAATTGAAGGATATGCTCCTTAGCGCTATATCAGAATCCAAGAGCGGTCATGGCGGTACGATGCTGACGTGGGACAAGGATCAAGTTTATATCCAACGACGTTGAGAAGAGGGTTGAGGATAGGGTTGCGGATGGAAGTTATCCGCATCGATAGTGGCCAGTATTCACCCTTTTCCTTGAGTGGTGGCACTGGTGGGTACTCACTCGGCTGAGAAGCCGTGTCCCATAATGCAAACTAGAACGGTGCGGCAGCAGTTCTGAAGAGTAAGCTTTGCCAGATGGTTGTGGGGACGCTTAGAACTGTACATAGGTATCGGGCAAGTTGCAACACTGGCCGGGCTGTTGGGCGATGTTAATCAAGGCATTGTTCGCCGCCAATCATGCAGTACGGGCTTCTCTGCGCGACGTTTGAACTGGCATGCGCCTCTACTAAGAAGTCCGCGGCGGGTAAGGCAGCCTGCATACTCAGAGATTGAAATCAGTTTGGGCTGGAATAGACGCAGTAGTAGTAGTCCATCTGTCAGTCCACTTGTGGCAGTATGTGCGACTGTTGCTGCACGTTGGAAGCATAAACAACAGCCTAGTCAGCAGATCAGCGTTGGACAGGTCATGCCGGCTAGACGAGAAGCGCTAATCTCGGAAACGTCTTGGCCCGATCGATAATTGCCGGCGGGTATACAGAGAGCTCGCGCAGGAACGCGGAGATGGGATATAAGCTAATCGTGGTCGCCCTTGTAACAGTATAAGATCGTACAAATATCTGAGATTTCAAAACGCAGTAGTACTCGCAGCCTGGTGTTGTATCTGTCAAGTTGTTTTTATTCTTTTGTTGCGACGTTGAAGTGCGTGGGTTAGGGGTTCAGATTTGGGGCAAGCCGGGTTGGTGTTCTAAACCTTAATTCCAGCTTCTGCGTTGCTGCCAGAGCAGAGAGAGAGAGAGATACTAGGCACCGTGACGAGCCACAAGGGCCCGCAACAAAAGCCTCGACGGTCGAACCATGACGCTGGGGCGCGTTATTCTCCCTGACCCGAGTCACCAGATCCAGCAGATCTCCCTGACCCGAGTCGCTAGATCCAGCAGATTCAGGAACGGACTGAACCCTGTGGCTGGCGCGAGCGGATCGCGGTTGTTTTAAGGCCCTTGCATGGAAGGCACCGCGCGAAGATCTGCAAACCCTTATGGCTTTGGCCCAATCGCAACACGCGCCGAGAAAGCACACACGTCGATCTCTCTGACCCAGGCCCTCCCCTCTACAATTCGAAGCAAGTAAACCGGGTTGTAAGGACTGTGCTGGAGGGTACCTGACCCTGGATTGGCATCTCTATCGGCGACATCTGGATGAGGATCATAGCGGCTCACATGTACGCAGCACTCATTTGCCACTATGAAAGTTGAACAATTTCTACCTCTCGCCGACCGGACATTTCTCGCTTTTACTTCTCATCCTTTCTCCACACTCTTTCACACCTGAGATTGTTTTCGCAAACATGAAGGTCTCAGTACTATGCGGCGCGACCCTCTTCTCATTGGCGACCTTCGCCTTCCCTGCGAGCATGCTCAAAGGTGACATTAGTGACGCGACCCTTGCGGAAATCACCGCTCTGACGGAGAGGATCGCAAGAGATCTAGAGAGCAAGCGATCGGGTGCCCACGTCAAACGTGCATTCGATGCAGAGGCTCAGCGCATCAGTACTACTGGTGATCACAAATACGTGAGTAGCGCTATTGGGATGCGCGACATGGAATCGCGTTTGCTGATGGCTTCGTTACCAGATTGCGCCAGGCCCCAATGATCTCCGTGGACCTTGCCCTGGTATCAATGTTTTGGCAAACCACGGTTACATTCCCCGGAATGGCATCTCTACAATCACACAAATGACTACGGCCGCCAATGAGGGTTTGTGTGCCTTTACTCGCTTATTTGCAGAGTGCTAACAATGTCAGTGTTTGGTATGGGCCTGGATCTATCAGGATTTCTAGCAGTCTACTCCGCCGTCATGGCAGGTGATCTCACCTCTTTTTCGATTGGAGGTAAACCTAAGTCTGGTGGGCTCCTAGGCGGTGTAACCTCATCACTCGGCCTTCTCGGAGAACCACAAGGCCTGAGCGCGTCACACAACCGCTTCGAGGTTGATGGATCACCCACCCGATCGGACTTGTACTCAACGTATGCTACCCAGCTTTCTCTCTCTTGTTGCATGGCCAGCTTAACTCATTACTCGTAGTGGCGACCCCGTATCCCTCAACTTGAGCTATTTCGAGCAGCTCCTCTCTATGCCTCTTGGCAAGAACGGCATTGACCCCTCCGTTATAACCCAGTTCCGCCTTGATCGCACAAGGCACTCAATCGCTACGAATGGTCATTACTTCTCAGGCCCGCTACAGGCCCTTGCGTTGAACCCCGCCACGTATCAATTCACCTACCGTTTCTTCGCCAACCACACTGCTGAGAATCCTGAGGGCTATCTCGATGCTAAGACGCTCATGTCATTCCAGGGTGTTACCGGAGAGAAGGGTAATTACAAGTGGGCTCGTGGGCAAGAGAAGATTCCTGAGAACGTGAGTACCCATCGTGACACCGTCCGCTTGCATACGCTAATGCCCATAGTGGTACCGCCGCGTTATCGGTGACGATTACAGCATCGCAGCATTCGCTGCGGAAGCCGTCTCAATTGAACTACAACACCCCGAATTTTACCGGTTTGGTGGAAACACCGGCCAGCCCAACACATTCACTGGAGTCGATGTCGACGACTTGACAGGCAAGTAATATCTTCGTACGGATTTCATGTGAGACAAATACTGACTTTGTACACCGTTCTTCAGGCAACGTTTTCAATGCGCAGACACTTCTTGAGGGAAACAACCTAATGTGCCTTGCATTCCAGGCAGCTAGCGTAGGTGCTCCTGACGTTCTCCGCGGATTACTTGGCAACGTCTTGGTCGCTGTGCAAAAGTTGGCCTCTGTTCTAGACCCGATCATTGCAGAGCTTGGGTGTCCTGAGCTTGTCAAGTACGACCGAACCCTGTTCAAGGCCTTCCCTGGTGCCGCGGGTGCGATATAGAGTGCGATTCTACACTTTGCGAACATATAGACTAAACTTCTGGCTTCAAACCCTCGTTGTATTAATACTACAAAGCTTTCATCTGCCTTGGTAATCCTTGTCCCGTGCATGCCGCATACCAGCGATGTGTCTGCCACTATCTTACATCATTCAACCTCTCACCCATGGGTCCTTCATGAGCATTGGGTGTTGTCTCTCTATCTCCTCCAACGTCTCCCTCTTTTTCATTCTAGCCTCCTCACTTGCGGAAACTGTAGCTTCGATATCGCGCACTTCAGCCTGCTCTCCGTCATATAGACCATAATAACCTACATCGTTCTCGATTGAACTACAATCGATCCTACCCAGCACATGGGAGCTTGTATGCAGATGTTTCCACGTATTACTCTTGACGGTGAAGAGTTTCCAGGGCTCGACAAATCCTTTTTTTGTCTTCCCTGTAGTCGTAGCCTTCGTACTTCACACCCGCAGCCTCAGCTTTCTTCCTCATATCCTCTGCGTAGAGAGAGTTGAAACTCCCTTCGGCCTCCCTCGCAAGTGCCCTGTCCCATGGCGCCCCAATCTCGCAATACGCATCCGAGTAGTCTGCTACAACGTAAGCTCGCGCAACTTGTACACGCATATCCGGCCGCCTCGTCGCGAGTTCGATGTACGTCTCCGGCACCGCAAATTGCGGATACCATATCAAGTACGGCAGCTCATATCTTTTCGTATCTACAGTAATGCGCTCGAGATTGTTGCTCACGACGAATCGTGCATGAAGCGCTTTCTTCACCCGCAGCGTGTCGAAGAGCGAGTCACCAGCGTCGAGCTGCTGCGCCACCCACTTTGCGAAGAGAGGGTGATGGTAGATGCCGCAGACAAGGCAGGGGCCTTCTTGCTGTATAAGGAGTGGTCGATGTAGGCGCGCGTACCGATCGATGTTGCCTTGTACAGCGGCCATGAGGATTAGGAGGTCTTTTTGCACCGTGGGTAGATCGGCGGGGAGCGGATTGTACAGCAGGGGGACCACAATGGACTGGTTGGTCTTTACAGCGCTTACGCTGTAAGTGTCGATGGACATGTCTTCTGTGATATCAAAATAGCGCTCTCTGAAGCCATCACGTCGGTACCAAGATGACGCGTTGGATTTAACGGGCCAGGGCGGGGTGTATCGCTGCTTGACCTCAAGCATAGAGCGTACACACATGTCTCCATTGATGAGAGAAGGGCGTGGAGAGCATGGTGTGTAGGCTCGCGTGTAGTCGTTGAAGACAGCATACTTTACCGGCTGGGAAGTGATTGCGTTATAGATGTCCGGATTGTCGCTATCGCGTGCTTCTCCAGCGATATGAGCTTCTGGAAGAAGGGCAAGTGAGTGATAGAGGTCAGTGTAGCCAGCTATCGCGCAGACACGGCCAATCTGGTAAACCATTTGCGGGTATTGTTGTAAGACCGCTCGGCAAGTGTCTTGGCTGGGCGTGCTTGGATGCCAGATGCAGTAAGGAAACTCGTCATGGTCAAGCATGTCCGGTATGCGATTGTTCATGATGGCCTGAGCATTCAGAGAGCGGGTAAAGCGGGAGTCCGTGCCGTGAAGCTCTCTTGCAAAGCCGTCGTTGTATCTGATGCCTCGGATGATCGCTCGCTAAGCAAGCTCTAGATTCATCATTAGGGGAATTTTGACCCCCAATAGCGCATCTTTAATCTATGACATGTCGAATTGCCGCAGTCTTCTCTCATGTTCTTCCTTGTCAAGCTTGAATCTCAGCTGGGCGTCCTTTTCCCTATCAATCTTGTGTCGAGGTTCTAATAGACGCTGTCTCTTCTCAGGAGATAATCGAGCTGAGCTTGCCGCATCGCAAGATCTAGATTGGTTTATAGTGGCCAGGCATCTTCGTGTCGATAGCAGAGCCCTACTTGAGATCCGTGGAAGCCACCACATCAAGGACCAAGGTAGGAACCTAGACACATGTACGAGGAGGGCTATAGTTTGGAATTCTACTATCGTAATAACAGTCTAGAGAGTCTGGTGTTGTGAGGGGGTAAGAAGACTTCGCAGTTGCTGTTCTCGTACCGTACGGGAGGCCCAAGTGGGTACTCAGGCCTTATTTGCGCCGGCAAGCGCACTTGCGGAATCAAGCGGCACGTCAGGAACGCTAGTGTCAGATGACGCCAAGGATGTTAGCTGCCGGGTATATATAGGTCCCATTCCATCTTAGCTTAGCTCCTTAGACTTAATACATACGATTACCCCCCAACCATCACTCCACAGTTAGCAAGCCAGCAGCACACGGACAGGAATAACCTCGCCTCCATCGTTGTGCTCAACGTTGCAGTAGACATTTCCGGGACAGATACCGATAATAGCAGATTGCCAGCCGGATCGATCAGAGCAGCCGTGAAAAAAGAGATGCGCACAATGGAGAACAAAGAAGACTGGCGATGCTGGGCAGTCACCGTCGACCACGCGACCCAGAGCAGAACCAGGATTGCGTGCAGAGACGAAGATGAGCACTAGATGGTCAAGAGAGCAGCAGAGAAGATTGGCGCAGGCTCGCGCATGTTGCGCGATGAGCTCTACCCAGTCAAGATCAACAAGGTTAAGAGAACAGCAGTGTTAGACGAGAAGGATAAGATCAGAGCGGGAGCAGCAGAAGCCTCTAGAGGAGAGAATAGAACGACAGTCGCTAAGATTGCGTGGCTTAGCAAGAGAGACGTCCCCAAGGCGTACGAATCTATAGTGGTGTATGTGACCAAGAAAAGTGACGCAACCAGGCTCCGTTCTGTAGAGCAGCCGGGTTGGTTATAATCAAGAATGTAGTGCTAAGAAGGTCTGTAGCAGTTAGTAATATAATGTTACTAACGTCAACCTTCTTAGCTATCTTAGTAAACGATAGTAGCTGTAAGAGTAAATCCTCTATAGCCACAGTGCGTTATAAAGCTAACAGACGCAGCCGCTATTAATCAATTTCATAAGAATCCCTCTGCATCTTCAGCGTCCTCGAGCTGCGCCTATCCGGCAAGTACACCAGCGAGCCGCGCGAGTACCTCATTAGTACCTAGGTAAAGGAAAGAGCAAGTGCAGCGTCGCGGACATCAGCACATAGCTGTAGGTAAGAAAATGGCGGCTGATTGGGTAAACGGACAAGGATATAGCCGCGTTTTTGCACGTATCAAAGTCGATCAAGAGGATGACTGCGAGGCCGGCTGTGCAGCGGGGCATTAGAGAGAAGTATAAGCCATAGTAAAGAGAGCCTAAAGGTCTAATCGTGTCAAACGAAATAAAAATACCATAGAACCTGCAAAATGGAGTTTGACTACATCCAAAAAGAATACATACAGAAGGGCACAAAGAGTGCCATACATTAGATTGTCATTTCATGACATACCTCATCATCACCCACAACTTACTCACCGGCGCCGTCACATCAGCCAACTTCAGCGTCCAATCTGTAATCACCAAAGATCCTTGCTGCGCAAACACCTTCAACGCGCCCACCGCCGGGCCATCGCTAAACGAAATCTCATTGCTTCCTTGCACCAGAGTCCACGCGCCTGCCGCCACTTGCGCATCGGTGACGACCTAAATGTCAACCGCAACAAGCCCGCTGACCGGATGTCCCTTGGTATACACCGGCAACCGCTCATTGACCTTGTTCAGCACCAACACGCGCTCCTGTGCGGCAGGCGGTGGTCCCGGCACACGCAAAAACTGCGCCCACTTGCTCGCCGCCTCGCTGCGCGCATCAACGACAGCAAACAGTCCCGTCAGCAGATCCGTCACCGCTTTCACATAGTCAGCAACCGCGCCTGACGCCGCGGTGCCGAGCTTGTCTCGGCCATCGCGCGATGTATAGCGGACGTGCATGATGATGTCCTGGATCGTGCCGTAGTCGAACTGACGGAAACCCGACGGGAGCGTCAGGCTCCACTGCGATATAGCGCCGGCGCCTCCGAACGGCATGTAGTGCTCGTTGTTGCTGAACGAGAGATCGAAGACGCTGGCATCGTTATTGGCTGAAGACACGTCAGCGGCGGAGATCGGTATGAGGACGGTGTCGAAGCGCGGGTCGTCGTTGGGGCTGCCTTGGTCGACCGTCTTTTCGAGGTAGTCGCGCTTGTCCTTGGCGGTGGGGTCGGAGCGGTATTTGTGCGCGGTGAGGCGCAGCGTGCAGTTGACGGTGGTGTACGGCCCGACGACGCAGGGAATGGTGAGAGTGACGGCCTTGATCTTGCGTAGATAGTGCCCGGGGAAGTCCATGTCGTAAAGGATTTCTGGAATAGCGAACTCGCACGCGCTATTTTCACGGAGCTGTATGAGTGCCAGCGGATTGACCTGACGTAAAGAGATGAACTTAGACACTTCAAAATCGTGGCCTCGCTCTTCGTGGTACGCAGCTTCCATGTTCTTCAGCCCCAGGAACAGAGCTTCGCCAGATAGCAGCCCATCGTGTCCGGGTTCCCAGTACCCGGGTTGGATGAAGCTGATGTCCTTGAGACCACGCTCGAAGCGGAAAGTAGCTTCAGCCTTGCGAGCCCAGTTATATGCCATTTGGTACACCTGGTAGAAGACAGGTACAGATTACAATAGGTATAAGGATAGAAGGGTTTTATTATTATACTTGTTGTAGTCAACTTAAATAGTTTATCTCTTACACAGGTTGTTAACTAGTTATTCTATCGTTTATAGAACTAGTAGCGTTATCTATTAGTTAACATCGATAACTCTTTTTCACCTGAATATTCTATACGCCACCTTACGGATTACTGTTTTGGTCTACCTCGCCTTAGTACAGACTGAGCTTAGAGAAGTATAGCCTAACCCTGTGTAACAAGCATCCCGTAACACCTCTGCTACGTCTAGTTGCTAGATCTACATGCCTAGAGTGCTACTCTAGAGTTCTGCTCCTCTGTCTTCTTATAGCTCCTTATCAGCCTTTTCTAAATCCATAATCTTACTATACGACCGTGCAGTCGCTGAGGGGCAGGCCGCATCAGAAGCGATCGTGGTCGCGACGGACTTAGCACATATAGTAGTGGTGATTGGAGCGGACCGGGCATACCGCCGTCCAGCCGGGTACAAAGCCGTCTCGGGTACAAAGTCGTCTCGGATACAAAGCCGTCTCGGATACAAAGCCGTCTCGGATACAAAGCCGTCTCGGGTACAAAGCCATCTCGGGCACACAGCCGTCTGGCACGGTAACAGGCGCGATAAAGACTGTTAGGGAATCTCCGATATGATCCCGACAGCAGTGAGATAATGCGACTGTAATCGTCCCGCAAAAACTCGCTAGGGAACAAAAGGCGCTTCGGGCTGTTATCCGTTCTCCACATTTAGAAGTCAGAAGGGCTTAAGTCCGTGCTGAGAAGAGGGGTAGCGGCGAGAACGTCCTATACTGTCAGTCACCGTGACCTCTGTCGATCTCATGCACAGGAGAGTATAATAACACCTGCGACATCCTCGAACTGAATTTCATCTTCTCGAGCATACTCGCAAAACACACAAGTAATCACCTCTGATCACTCTTTACACATCACTATCATACATCGAGTAAGACTCTACGATCCGACGTACGTCTGTTACAATGGCTGGGTCAGTCTTTGGTTACTTTGGTTTCGGCGGCTCACCGGCCACCCAGGCCCCACCAGAGAACCAAGCTGTACGGGCGCTACCCGGTAACTGGTATACATCAGAAGAGATGTACCAGCTTGAGCGACGCGCGATCTTCACCCGAAGATGGCTTATTCTTACCCACGAGTCAAGACTCCCGAACCCCGGCGACTTCCTTCGCTACAATATCGTCAACTACGACGTTGTTGTTTCTAAAGACCAATCTAGCGAGATTCACGCGTTTCACAACGTATGCAGGCACCGTGCATACCCAGTCGTCGAGAAAGACGGAGGCAACGCAAAGATCTTCTCCTGCAAGTACCACGGCTGGTCATATGGCCTGAGCGGAAAGCTCGCAAAAGCGCCGGGTTATCAAGAGCTCCAGAACTTCGAGAAGGCTAAGAACGGTCTCTTCCCCATTCATACCCACACTGACCGTAATGGCTTCATCTGGATCAACATGGACGCAAAGAAGGAGCCTGAGGTATCGTGGGAGTCCCAGTTTAATCACGTTGATGAACAAGCACGATTCGATCAGTTCAACTTCGACGACTACGAGTTTGACCATACGTGGAATCTCGAAGGTCTACTTAACTGGAAGATCTTGGCCGACAACTTCAACGAATGTTACCACTGCAAGACGGCACATCCCGATCTTACGGCGGGTTGGCTCGACCTCGAGAGTCATGACGTTCACTGCTCAGCTGACTACATCCAACACTATATAGAGTCTCCGGAAGACCACAAAGAGCTTGGCCAGGAGATCTGCTCTACATACTGCTTTCCTAACGCATCATTCACTATCACAAAACACTTCTTGTTCATGCAGAAGTTTATGCCGAAGTCAGCTGATGAGACAGTTATGTACTACGAGGTCTGGCGCAACAAGCACTCTAGCGAAGAGGATTTCCTGTTTATTAGCGATACCTATAAGCGTGTTATGGGCGAGGATAAAGTACTATGCGAGCGCGCCCAGAAGAACATCAAAGCAGGCGTCTTCGTTAATGGCGAGCTAAACCCGTACAAGGAAAAAGGACCTTTATTTTTCCAGAACAGATGTCGCGAAATCGTTTTGGAGCAAAGTATAAAGGAGAAGAAGGCTGGCCAGCAAATCTGGCCTGCGAAACAGCAGCTCGAGTCCACGGGTACATCAGCCATTAGCAAAGAGATGGAGGACTTCTGCGAGGGTCTTGCCTGTAGCAATGAAAACGAGAAGAACGGGTTCGCTTGGTAAGCGACGATACGATGTTCACGATTGGAGTTTCATCGGGGCTCTAGCGCGGTTAGATTAGGTTAATAAGCTCTACCCTACCCTACCCTAACCAATATAAGGCGACGAATCTGGGGTGATTCGTGCCGAACTAGGCTTAGCGTTAGGGTTTCCGCCCGCATCTAGTAAAAATATCACCCCTAATTCGCAAATTTCAACACCCTCAATTTATCACAACACAAGACTCTACAAGACCTAACTTCTATATAAAACTTTATTATGCTAACTTTTTAAGTCTATATACAGAGTTTTAGCTACTAGCAGGCACGTTTGTGTTAAAAGTTAGGGTTAGAGTTAGAGTTAGAACTACAATAATAGAGCTACTAGTCTAGAACACTCGCGCGCCTGCATCGCAGAACGCAGAGAGCAGTAACAGCAGCCTACCTGTACACAGCACTAAACAGAACACTCTGCTAGACAACTATAACAATACTCTCTACTTTCTAGCTAATTTTAGAGTGCTAGTTTGCAGGCAGCACTATAGCAGAGTTGTTAATCTTAATAGGTATCTATTAGAACAGCATGCAACGCCTGCTTAAGTGCAAAAAGCAGTTATCTAACAATTTGCGTAATATAAGAGAGTAGACTTAACCTATAAAACGCGCATATTTAGGCTTAATTATTGTTAAAATAAGTGTAGCGTTAGAGTTGCGCAATTAAATTAGGCCTACTATAGGAGGCGAATATTATATCTTATACCCCCCTTAATTATTATCTAAATAAGCATAGCGTTAGAGTTACGCAATAAAATTAGGCCTACTATAAAAAGTACTTAGAGTTATCTTAAAGTTATCTTAGAGTTAACTTACTAAGTATAGAGTTTTACTAGAACGCATAGCTACTTACAACGTTAACTGCAACGCAGTACTATAAGCAACTGCGTGCACGTAAGATAATAATTAACAACGTATAAAAGCGCTTCTGCTATCTTTAGCGCTATTAGGTACTAGTTTGTAAAGAGTACGCTATTAGTATATAAAACGTTAATATGCACCTACGCAACTAGTATAGTATAGTAAGCAAAGAAAGGAAATCTATTATAGAGCACTACTAGTAATAGCAGATTACTACACTATAAGATATTAAGCTGCTTGCGCTATTAGAGCTGCTAATTAAGTAGCTAGGCGAGCTGTTAAACGTCTATTAATATAAGATTACTAGCAACTACAGCTTTTATACTACAAATAAGAGTAAAATTATTACAGTAACTACTATAGTTCCCTTAACACTAAACGCGCTACAGAATCTAGGTGCTCTGCTAAGCACTTAGATTCTGCTAATTAGCTAGCTAAGCTAAGCGCTACGCGCACAGCCCTTTGTTAATAACTTTTTACCGCCTGTACATGCTAGTTCTGTTTCCTTACGCAACGTCTTGTATTATACTAGATATTGTACGTAGCTACAGTTAACGCTTCTAGCAAGCTCTTAAACTACGTGCTCGTAGCGTCTTGTAATATTACGTTGCGTCACCTACTATAACTACCTACAAACAACCTAACGCGTTGCAGCTAATCTTGCATTAGCTAAACGCAATTTAAGCGGACTCTGCATCACTAAGAGCAGACTTAGCTGCGTTAAAGGCTAGCAATAAAGCACTCCTTGCTAACCTAGCTAAGCAAGAGAATTAACACGCGCAACAGATATTAGAGCTCTGTTAAGAGATAGAGACTATTAAGACTAGGTCTGCTCCTGTTACTACCCTAGCTCTTACCTGTACTAACACTAAAGCTAGGCAAGTTCGTTTCGCGAAGCTATCTAGAAGTAGCTCGAAGCCTGTAACGCCGCTAACTGCGAGCCTCAAGGACCTGCCCTGAACTAACTGTCTGCCTAACCCGCCTCTATTTAATAGGCGACGAAAGGACCTCCCTGCCTTCGTCCGCAAACTAAGGTATAAGCTAGAGGGCAACGCTAACTAATACCTAAACGAGAGATCCCGCCTACTATATGCCTACTCTCGACTAGAGAAGGACGCTGTAGCCCTTATTAACCCGCTTATAGACAAGGACGTTTATACTGTAGACTAGCTTGTTACCTTCCTTAAAGCCACCTATAGAGACCTAAACAAGGAGCTAACAGCACTTAGCTAACTAAGCGGATTACGTTAAGAGAAGCGCAGCTTTACTTTTTACTTCGCTAAGTTCTAACAGCTAGCCGCTAATACTAGATTAAATAAGATTAGTCTTATTACTTCCCTCTAAAACTCCCTGTCTTATAAATTGCAGCGCGCAATAGTTAGAGAAGCTCTGCCTAACAACCTAAACGACTACGCTAATCTTATATCTACTTACAACAACAACCTCTAATTCCTACTAAACCGCCTACGCTGTCTCCCTGTAGCACACCCTAACGCAATAGATATAGACGTAATAAACTACGCTTCTGCTAGCTCTGCTAAACGCTAGAAGAGAATTAAGGAAGGCCGCTGCTTTAAATATAACTAGAAAGGCTATATATCTAGCAACTGCAGTGTCCCTTTACCTGCTTAGCACATCTAATCGCATAGCGCAAACAACTAGATCTGTACTCGCTCTGCAGGATCTAATACCTTAAGATCCTCTTAATCTTTAGGATCTCAAAGGAGACGCTCTCGCAACTAGTCTTAAAAGAGAAAAGCCTTGTCCTAAGGATAAGTTGCTCCCTAGGACTGCGCATACACTAAATCTCTGCTAAACTCTAGTCTAAATCCTAAACTAATATATAGAAACGCTATATTGTAATACCCTGCACAGTCTAACAAAGCAACACTAGAAGTAATCTTAAGGCCTTAGTTAATACTAGAGCTACTAGTATTAGATACATTTACAGAGACCTCGCGCGCAACCTAAACCTTTGTTAAACTCTACTGCCCTACGTTATCTATCCTACTAGATTTACTAGAACTGTACTCAATAGTAGAGAAGTGTCTTACACTGTTACTCTAAGACTACAATATAACAACTACGTAGAGACTATACAACTCTACGTTACTAACACTAGCTAACACAAATTAATACTTAGCTAACTATAGATAAACAAGCATTAAGTAAACCTAGACTATGCTAATAAGAAACTAGTATTTACTGCTTAACGATGTACTAAACGATGCCTTAGAGCTAGTAGTATCTCTGCTCTCCTTTACGCATAGTAAGGCAACAACTACTCTAAGAAAACCTACTCTCGAACCCTAAAGCTTAAACACGCCCTACAACAACAACACGACTATTAGCTGCTTAAGATAAAGCGCTAATTATATAAACGTACTTACAACTCTAGCTTAGACTACACTTAGTTAACCTACGATTAAGGTGACTTGTTAAAGTTACAGCTAGAACTCGATATCTACTGCATAGGCGCGGCCCTATTTATAAGCCTAGCACGTAAGAGAGGTTACAAGATTTGTGCTGTTAGTATTGCTAACATTAATAAAGCACTAGCTGTAAAGAAGCACACTAATCTACTTACGAAAGTCCCTTCTAAGTATTACAATCTAATAGACGTCTTCTTACGAGAGAACTCTAATAAACTGCTTGTACAACGACTATACAACTACAAGATTAAACTAATAAAAGACAAGCAACACAGGTTTAGCCTGTTGTACAGCATATCCTAAGATAAACTAAAGGTACTGCGCAAGTACCTTAAAGACTACCTTTCTAAGGGGTTTATCTAAGCAAGCTCCTCTCTAGTTGCTTTACCTGTTATCTTTGTTAAGAAACTTAGAAGAGGACTACGCTTTTGCGTCGACTACTATGCCTTAAACGCAGTTACTGTTAAGAACTATTACTTAATCCCGCTAATCTAAGAGACCCTAAGTTGACTAAGCAAGGCTAAATATTACACAAAGCTTAACATTATCGCTGCCTTTAATTAACTTTAAATCGCTAAAGGAGACAAATAGCTAACAGCCTTCTGTACCTAATATAGACTGTTTAAATATCTTGTAATACCCTTTAGACTAGCTAACGCGCTAAGTACGTTCTAACACTTTGTAAACGACGTATTGCGCTTGTTCTTAGACATATTCTGCACTGCTTACTTTAACAATATCCTAATCTATAGCGAGACTCTCTACAAACACAAGGAGCATGTTAGATCTGTTCTAAACGCCCTTAGAGAAGCTAGGCTCTAACTAGACGTTAATAAGTATAAGTTCTACTAAGCAGAAGTTACTTACCTTAGCTACGTAGTTAGAGTAGACAGTATATAGATAAACCTAAAGAAAGTTTAAGCTATTGTAGACTAAGAATACCTAAGTAACGTTAAGGACGTTAGAGCCTTCCTTAGCTTTGCGAACTTTTATTAACAATTTATAGATAGTTTCTTCTATCTAGCTGCCTTGCTTGTAGCCCTAACTAAGAAGGACACAAAGTTCCTCTTTAACGAAGCCTGTTAGAAGGCTTTTAATGCATTAAAGCGCGCCTTTACTACTACGCTAATACTGCAGCATTTTAACTCTAACCTCCTAATTACTGTTAAAGCAGACGCATTTAACTACGTTACAGCTAGAGTCCTCTCCTAGACAAGACCTAACAGTACTCTTTGTCCTGTAGCCTATTACTTAAAAAAGATAAACTCTGCAGAGAACAACTACGAAATCTACGATAAGGAACTGCTTACTATTGTCTGTTGTTTTAAACAATAGAGACCTAAACTAGAAGGCGCTGCTTTCTCTATTACTGTGCTTAGCGATTATAAGAATCTGCAGTACTTCGCAACTACAAAACAGCTAAGCTACTGTTAAGCTTAGTAGTCTAAATATCTCTCCTAATTCTAATTCACAATTACGTATTAACTAAGCAAGCATAGCGAGAAGCTTAACGCTCTAACTTGTTGGGTTAGGGTTAGGGTTAGGGTTAGGGTTAGGGTTAGGGTTAGGGTTAGGGTTAGGGTTAGGGTTAGGGTTAGGGTTAGGGTTAGGGTTAGGGTTAGGGTTAGGGATAG